AGGGAACAGGTAATGTAGAAGTCTGTGAAAGTTTTATCATAGGTAGAAGAATGCAAAATTTGTCAATAAGCATTTCAGTCAAATGTAATTCATGCAAAAAACGCGGACTTGGCAACCCTGCATCCAAGAAGAGCTGCCGGAGTCAGATTTGACTGATCACAGGTCAAGAATAAGGAGAAATGACTGACAAGACCATGCTGGAGTATTTGCTGCTCAACAGATCCTGAACTCATTGACAAATATCTGATCTTGTAAGATGTGCTCCCTTTACACAGAGTGTGTGTGATGCTCATTCAAAAGGGATTTAAATACTCCACATCCTGAGAGCGGCTCCCTGATGCGGCTAAATTATACACAATATTAGAATGTTTAAAGGAGTGGACACGAAAATCTCGGAAGCGAAACATATGTTGTGGGAGCAGGCGGCAATGGTCATAGATTCAGCGGGAGCGAGATCTTGGGAAAATCAACCCATATCAACAGTTTAAAAATAGCTCAATTCTGTGGAAAAAATGCAGACTTGGCAACCCTGCATCCAAGAAGAGCTGCCGGAGTCAGATTTGACTGATCACAGGTTGAGAATAAGGAGAAATTACTGACAAGACCATGCTGGAGTATTTGCTGCTCAACAGATCCTGAACTCATTGACAAAAATCTGATCTTGTAAGATGTGCTCCCTGGAGTGGACACGAAAATCTCGGAAGCGAAACACATGTTGTGGGAGCAGGCGGCAATGGTCATAGATTCAGCGGGAGCGAGATTAAGAAAACAGCCAAATCCCAGACATTTTGAGCAATTAAGAAATCCTGGCTGGACGCATTTTTTTTAGGTCCATAAAGAGGACATGTCCGGGGAAAAGAGGACGTATGGTCACCCTAACTTATAAGAGCTCATGAATTTGATATCACAGTTCCTGCATGTTGGCCTAGCCTATTATTTCTATATGCAGTGTAATAGCTAATTTAGTAGATTAATTCACTCATATTTAAAAGTGGTTGTGACTTCCAAAACTCTGCAGCATGTACGCGGCCAATAAAGAAAAACGATTATGCAAATCAAATTAAAACATTCAAAACAAATAAAAAGCCATTAAAGCAAAAACAAAAGCATGTTAATCCAGTCCCTCAGTGGCGGCCATCCTACCTTAAACTCTTTCTCGATGTTGGCGAGTTTGGTGAGCTCATTGCTCAGTTCCAGCGCGGTCAGTACCGGGTCTTCGCTGGACAGAGAGAGATATGCCGGACTGGCCAGTCCGCGGTACGCATTTATCCTGGAGCGCGAGTGACTGAACGAGTCCTTCCTCTTCTTTTCCGTGCAGTCGGCGCATTTGCAGAAGTAGTCATGCGGCCGCTCGATCCTGGCGCCCTTCATCAGCAGCATGTGCACGACCTCGTATTTCTGGCAGTGGGCAGCCAGGATGATAGGCGTGATATCGGGCGAGAACCGTGTGCCGTCCTCGTCGTACGAGTAAAAGTCGTCGTCTTGCAACTCGCAGGGGCTGCGGGTGAGTCGTTCGCCGCCCGCAAAGGACGGATGTCCCAGCAGGGCCTCCACGATACGCACGTAACCTTTAGAAATTGCCAGCAGGAGCGCATCCCCGACACGGGCCAGGTTGTCTCGCCGCAGGAGCAGCTCGGTGACCTCCAGGTGTTCGTTGCCGACGGCCAGCTGTAGCCCGTTCTGTCCCATGTAGTCGACACAGTTCACATTGATCGTGGGTGATTCTTCCAGCATCTTCCGGACCACCGGGATGTTACCGTACTCCGCCGCGTCCAGAAAGCGCTCTTCCTCCGGCGCGAGGCTGCTGCCACGGGCGTTGAACATGAACGCCGGTCCACGAACCGCCTGTCGTCGGCCCTTTTCTCGCGGTAGGGTCATCCTGCGATGGGGGAAACTATCCGAAGATTTCCTGCAATTGAAAAAGAAGTAGGCTTTTTACCTTGTGAACATTAGTCAAGCTCATTCAAGTGGAAGTGACTTTCTCTGCACGTGGCTGCTTGATTATATCTCACGCCTTTGACAAATAGCCAACAAGTTGACTTTCTCACTGAGATCTGACAAGTGGTGTAGCTATCATCAGGGATGTGATCCCACTGGGACAGAAAGCAGAAGGTGATTCGTGCCAGACGGTCCTGCTGAAGGTGAGATCGCCCTCTGGCTTTTAATAGCTTTTTAATGAAATGCAACAGATGCCACAATCACACAACAGGTGAGTTTCTTATTGGAGTGACGCCTGTGCTCAAATCGAGCTGACTCATGTTTAGCGAGCACTTGAGGTGAAGAGAATATACAATAGCAACAGTCAGTGAGCCTGAATAGAGTTCATTTCCCTCATTTGGATGGGTAATACTTTTAATAATTTTAATAATATTGGGCCTTGTAGCTAGTTTACAAACTCCTGACATCTTCAGACATCATGGCATTGGCACTCATTCAAAAGATGCTCATATTAAAGTTTCCACTATATTCCTCTCCACACACTCTACAATACAAAGAAGCATACAAAAACATCAAAACATTTTGGGGAATTGACCATTAGCAAAGAGGGAGCGGAGCGGCGTGATTTTGCCTGGAGCTAGGAGCGGATTCTTTGAGAAAAAAGTCGGAGCGTTGAGATTTTCACTCGCTCCGAGAACGCTCCGCTACCCCTCCGTCACAAGCACAAATTATGCCAACTCACGCATTAAACATAACTAGTTAGCTTGACAGATATGTGGATCACATATGAAGGTTAAAATGGCGATGGACGAGTGCGGGAGGTTAAAGCATGTTGTAAGTTGTACAGTTTGTTAATCTCCGCTCGAAACTAATGTGCTGCTACATTGCTGCACACGGACAGAACACACAAGCTCGCACATAACGTACAGATCGCGCGCATACATTCAGGAATGAAGAAAATGTTGTCAACGCTGTCCTGTGATTTATCAGCTTAAAAATGGAACATTTTTACAGCATATTCTTTCTGTTTCTGAAGTAACTACCCTCAGCTTCGCCATAGTAAAGACGTTGCACAGATAAGTAAGGTCAGCGAGTTAAGCAGCCATTTAATATGGACTTGGGCTAATTGTAGTGTTCCATTAAACCATGTTAAAACTATTCTTCTAGTATTATGCATTTATTTTTCGTTTAATATCATTTCTGAACAGAACTTTGATTTTTCAAGCAAAGTGAAATAATTTAGCCACGGAGCGAATGTGGAGCGGGTGTTTCTGATCAGTGGAGCGGGAAATGGTGAACCCAGAGCGGAGCTGGAGTGGAGTGATTATTGAATGCTTGGAACGCGGAGGGGAAATTGTTGCCGCTCCACTCCGCTCACATACTCTGGTTTGGACTACAGCATTGTTTTCATGTTGTGATGTCACAAAGCGTCCAATTAGAATACCATTAAAATAAATCCCACCTACTCAAATGTTCATTTCGTGCTTTACGTAAAAATGAAAAGACGATCGGTTAACGTGTTTGAACTGAGGCAATAGTGATCTGTCACGACACATTAAAGAGCCACAAAACGGTATTTATTATTTGAATTTCTTTAAAAATGACACAATTTAAAAGCTGAGAGTCCTGAGACCTTGTTTCATACCAGAAGTAACCTGCTCTGTCTTCTCTGTTGGGGTGTTGTCAGTTTCCTCTTTGGTCTGCGATGTATTTTTCACTGCGTGAGAACATGAAGTGTAGTGTAAGCAAAGCCAATAGAAGGCAAGCCTGCAACCATTAGCCGAAAAAGCGTAACAGCTTAAGCTAACGCTTCCGGTCTGGCAGTACGTGGGAAAGGAGACCAGAGGCGTTTTTTTTTTTTTTTTTTTTAATGAATGTCAATGGAGGAGAGGCTTCACTACGCTGAATAAACAGCTTTTTAGAGGAAACAGCTTATCATTTAATGAATCGACAGCCTATCTGCTAAACTTCAACATGTTTTACACTAATGCCTAGTTCACACTACAGGATTTTAAGCCCGATTTAAGCCCGATTTGCAAACTCGCCGACAGGTCGGGCTGTGATCGGGGGGAAATCAGCGGGTGATCGGCGCTCGGCAATCTTTATGTGTGAACAACACAACGATCCATCAAAGAGGCTCGCTAGCGTGTCGCCGACACCTCGCCGACGGCAAACAAATATCTAGCATGCCAAATATCTGGACCGGTCGGTTCCTGACATCCATTTTCAAATAAACAACTCCTGTTTCATGTGTTGTTTCGCGTCATTCCCGTTCCAATTCTCGTGTGTGTTTTCGTGAGTCATGACAAAACATGGTTTGTAGAGTTGTTGGGTGACAGAGTTGTTGTCAGCTTCTGTAGTGTGTAACCCCCGGTTGCGGATCATTTACATAGAGTCACGTAGTGTGACCACCACAATGACTTAAAGACAGACAATCAAGTCATGTAGTCTGAACAGCACAGCGGTATGCCGTTTAAAATAGTGTAGTGTGAACTTAGCATAAACTATACTTTTGGATTGAACTATTTTTAGAGTTTACCACGAAAATTTTTTATAAGAGAAGTCACTGACTTTTTGTGACAGGTGGGATTCAGCTTAAGGCACTTCTCATTCATTCCTATGGTATCTGTAAACGACAATTGAGTGTCGCACAACTCTGATTGAAATTCAATGACGTCAAGGCTGTAATGTTATTGGTTATTAAGGGATGTGATCCAAGTTAGCCGTTACGCTTTCTCCAATAGTAAGTAATACAGACCCTCTCATCTACTTATAGTAAGACAATCTCTGGTGTGAGAGCGACATTGTTTGTCGGGGATGGCAATAGTAACTAAGGAGGGCGGGTCTTTGCGAACGGTCAGTTGGTTGAGAATTTGGCACTGGAACTTTGTCCTAATTGCAAAACTTATTCTGAGAGGAATTTTTCACGTTCTGACCAATGATTTTCCTGATTTTCCATTACTTTTTTTTTTTAAACAGTCATTCGTGATTAGTGATTTTTTTTGTATTTTTTAATAATTTTATAGAGACTGCACTCACAGAGAGCAATTTCTGGTCAAATACTTCAGAGAAAAGCATAGCTGGAAAATGTTAATATAAATTTAACACATTCAAGATTATATATGAAAATATGAATTTAAAAAGGATATTTTACACATATTAGTATATCTTACACATTTATCTTAATTATAAATATCTTAATTTGTATTCCAAAGATGAACGAAGGTCTTACAGGTTTGGAATGACATGAGGGTGAGTAATTAATCAAAGAGTTGTAATTTTTGGGTGAACTATCCCTTTAAACTCCCTTGTATTAAAATCCACCAACACTCTTTACTGAGCGACATTCATGCTGTATTAAATTAAACAAACCGTTGACTGACACCCAAACTCATCTGCTTTAATACAATATAATCCTTAATGAAAAACAGTGTCAGCAAAAGTCATAAACACATGAAAATAGAATCAGAAATGAAAACCCACAGGCAAATTAAATTGTATTATTGTGTACTCTTATAAAAACAACTCATTCAAGACATCAAAGGACTTCAGCACAAACCTTATTTACTACATGCATTACCTGGTGATAATGTAGGGTGAGAGTAAATGAACACAGAATAAGTTTGTATAATTTAAAGGCTGAATTCATAGTCTGAAGCGAGATGGACCCGGTCTCTACTGCAGGATTTACTTGAGTGGGGAAATTCATTTCACACAGCCCAGGTCCCTGGAGCTTCAGACGCCCACATCACCAGAGGCCAGAAAGGAGGGGAAGCATTCAACTCGAAACTCTCCATGCAGACAATTCAATTCAATTCAATTCAATTCAATAAACGCAAAGAGCTCGGCCTCCACTAAAACCCCTCGACTAGCAAACACACAGAACATGACTTGAATCTTGAAGGTATTACTTAATAAGTTTAAACTTCCTGCTGCATATGTAGTAACCAAAAATGTGAAACTCTCTTATATTTGAGCTTTTACGAGATTTTACAGGATTTGCAAGATTTACATTACATATTATTGATTTGGCAGATGCTTTTATCCTGAATTAAACGTATTTATTTCACCTGTATTCTATGAGAATCAAACTCACTTGATTTACTTGAGGTTTTTTTTTTTTAACACGAGTTCAACTTTTTTTTTTTTTTTTTTTTTTACAAAATAAAATAATTTTTAATGAATTAGGGCAAGATTTAATAACAGCTTGCGCCAGCGCAAACCGTCTTTTGGCATTAAAATACTACTGTCTAAAGACACGCAGTGAAGAATTAGCACTGAAAAGGCATGGACACAATTATTTTTGTGACTCACCTTATTGAATATGCATTTGTAGGAGCTTCCCTTTCAGATGCAAAATTTATGGGAGGAGAGTATTAAAATGAATCACGCAACACAATTTACTAACGTTTGCGCTCATCAAATTACTGGAATAAATTGTGCCATTATTTAACGCCCAAAAAAGCATGTCTTCAAGGGTTAGTTCACCCAAAAATGAAAATTAGCCCATGTTTTACTCACCCTCAAGGCATCTAAGGTGTATATGACTTTCTTCTTTCAGACGAATCCAATCAGAATCCAATCAGAGTTATATAAAAAATTCTTCCAAGCTTTATAATGGCGTGGGCGGGTGTTTTTGTTCAACAGTCCAAAAGTAGTCAAATAAAGCGCATCTATCCATAATAAAACATGCCTCACACGGCTCTGGGGGGTAAGTAAAGGCCTCCTGTAGCGAATTTATGCGTTTTTGTAAGAAAAATATCCATATTTAACACTTGTTTTCTCACTTCTGCTGACTGTCATACGTGCAAGCCGTTCCGGCGGATAATGTAGGATGTACGCATCGCGCATGCACCGGTGATTCGTGACGAATGCGGAAGCGTGGAGGAGAGACAGCAAAACAAAACGATGGTCACGAATTAGAAGCACAAAACGAGGATTTGTAAAGAAAATTACAGGAGCAAAGGAAGCAAAGTTTCCTTACTTTACCAAAGGAAAAGCAGTCTCCTTTTGGCTTATTGTAACGGGGCGACTGAGACGAGAGACATGCGGATCCATACGCATAGCTTTATTCAGAGACATGGTCAAAACACAGGCAAGGTCGAAAACCAGCAAACAGGTATGGTACAGACGAGACACAAGAGTGATCCTAAAAAAGGCGTGGGTTGATCGACTGCGAACTTAATCCTGAGGGTGATGCGAACGGGGAATCCAGAAACAGAAGATAGTCCAGGTGAGGTGCAAACACAATCCGAAACAACAGGCAAAGGGTAAATCCAAGACAAGCTATAAGCTACAGGGCAGGCAGATATCAGACAGAATGAGGTAAACCGGGCTAGAATCAAGACGCAGGTAAAACAGGTAATAAACAGGACAGACTAGACTTGAACTCAGGAAACACGGAATGGCTCCGTAAAGTTGCTATCGCTAGAAGAGTGATAAACGCAGACAATACTCAGCAATCTGAAAGAGGAAGTCCAAGGCTTATAAAGCGTGTCTCATTGGATGCAGCTGTGTGTGTGTAATCAGTGCAATGGATGATGGGAACTGTAGTCCAGAGTGACATGTAACAGTCTGTGTAGTGTGAGAGTCAATGTAATGGAAGAGCGATCTCTGGTGGCGAGCGGATGGAAGTCCATGGACAGGATTTGTGACACTTATATTGAAATCCTCTGACATTTTTGTTTACAAATCCTCGTTTTGTGATTCTACTTCGTGACCGACTTTTTGTTTTGCTCTCTCCTCCGCACTTCCACGTTCGTCACTAATCACCGGCGCTTACGTCCTACGTCATCCGCCAGAACGGTTCTGCATTCGACAGTTAGCAGAAGTGAGAGAAAGGTGTTTATAATGTTTTAACTAACCCTTTAAAGCAGACGGTAATTTGCGCTGCTCTTGGTAGATTGCACTGGTCATTATGGAAATGATCTGGCTGCATCTGTTCTTTAATATACGCATTGTTAGTAAATCACCCACAGAATTTTCCCCTCCCATCTGCGCTTTTATGGAATTGTGCTCTAACGTTAATTTGCCCTGTTTAGCAAATCTGGCCCTTAGTTTTGTAAAGAAATTAATATTGTCAACAAAACTAATTTCAGCATTAATATAATGAAGTTTTTTAAAATATAACCCAGCTACCAATTTTTGGGTTCCAAGGACATTCTGAGAACATTAGTTTATGATTCCCTGAATGTTCCCAGAACAAGCACTTTTTAAGGTTTGTATTTGGTTGGCCAGATATTTATGGAATTGGTTATTTATTTATGGAAGGTTTACAGAACTTCAGGGGAATGTTCGGTGTTCTCAACAATTCTCAAAAAGGTATCAGTTGAAATGGTCAAATATTGGCTAATTCCCTAAGTCCTGTTTGATATATTATTCTCTAACTAATATCATATAGAATGAACTGTATTGAGGATTTTCATTCAATCGCAGCTTTTAATTTCAAAACAGAGCTCATACGAATGTTTAGCTATTCTTTATGATAATGCTGGTGTAAAAGGTTAGCCGTGTTAAAAAATTAATTTGACCATAGCAATCAGAAATTCCTTGTTAAGTCAAAACACATTCAGAGAAAATGTGCATGCGAAAGCAGAAAATGTGAGCTGAAGCTATTTCTATTCCTCTCATTAAAACACCCTCTCCATTATTGTGAAAAATGGATCGATTGGCATAAATTATGCAGCTCCTTGTTAATCAGGTACAAAAGTGAGAGTTTAAACATGCTTAAAATGTTAAAACGTGCCTGTGACGTGCACATGTTCATCATTGCACAGCAATGCTTCATATAGACGTGCATAATCAAGAGAGAGGAAGACTATCTGTCATTATGCAGGACGCAGCTCTATTTATTCAGAAAGATCATGCTGTCTTTGAAACGTAAACAGCTGTGGGTATTTCAGAGTCTGGACAGCATGTGCACAGCACTAATGAGATGCATCAGTCACACAAATGGACATTTTGACTTAGTGAAGTATTGGAAGACCATTTCCAGTTCTGAATTAATTATCCTGTATATCCTGAAAAGTAAATATCAGGATTGAGGTTATAAATCAAGATGTGAATTGACAGGCATCGTACTTCACTAGTGGCCGCATTTTTCTATATTATCACCCATGTACTTAACTTTGCAACATTTGTGCGATAGACATGAACAGTACCTCAAACCATGTGCTATACCTTTCTTATTGATCAAACTGATTTTTGCCTGACGCACGAACAAATATGTGAAAAAATCCCTTTATAAATTATTTTAATAACTAAAAATGATACAAATAATATATGTATAACTTACATACATAGCTTGTGTTCAACTTGATGTAGTAAAATAACAAAAAAAATGTACTAATGAAATGAAATAAAAATGGATAAAAACTATATATATATATATTTTTTTTAAAAACTACTAAAAATAACAAAAAACACAACAAAATTACCTGACTTTGCACAAAAAAAAACACATTTTTATGAGGAAAAAGTCAAAATCTCGTTAAGAAACATTTTCCTTTGGGGTTTAAACTATGGAGGACGAAACCTGCAAAAACAATAAATAAATAAATACACAAATAAGTAAATAAATGTGTGCATAAATACACGTATTCTTGTTTAAATACATAAATAAATAATTAAACGTGATGAAGAGTAGGCAGATAAATAAAATAAATTGGTGGGCAAATGGAAAATGTTTAAGGAAATGCTAAACTCATCCTAACTATTTTCCTTTGATCACTCATTTATTTCTGAATGTAGTTCCACATTTTTTTTCCCTCTGAGCAACATGCTAAATGAGAGGGTGTCAATTATGCAAGAATAGGCGGATCGTGTGTGACGCTCTTGAGTGTTTGCCTGCGCATGCGTATTAACTCCATCAGTCAAGGTGACTGATTATTATCTTACACTTTTTCATAGGGTTTAAACATGAGTTAAGTACTTATTTATTTATTATTATTATTTTATTTTTTTTTTACAAAATAATTGTAATTTATGTTGTTATTTTAATGATCAACAGTGGACACATCATGAGCTGGTAAAATATATACCTTCCTTGTCATGTAAGTTCAAAATCAATATGTGTATATTGTTTGCTACTAATCAGCTATATGTCATGCTTTTATAAGACTTTTTTTTTACCCCAAGTCAATAAAACTCAAAGTCTCAAATAAACTGATCGAGGGGGAACTATACCTTCATGACCTGAAGCTACCGATAAAAAAAACAACAAAAAAAAAAAACTGTTTAATAGCATTCTCTGATGGTGGAAATGACAGTTGAAGCATCTTTGGAATAAAATAACCAGCTTCTTTGCCTTGTATAAGCTAGCTTGCATTTTATGTGCTATATTTTCTAATCTTTTTGCAGCAGAACTGGAAATGATGCACAGTAGAAATATTGTTAGGAATTTACCTGGATCGTCCTTTGTTTTTCTCACACATTACACTTTTAATGAACTTTTGAAAAAAAAAAAAGTGTTAATTTCAGGCAGGAATTACATATTTAAAAAAAAAAATGCTAATAATTTGTACACAATAAAGGCTGGGGTGGTTGATGCTTATTTTACTTTTTGTTTACATTATGTTTAAAAATATATCTTGTGAGAAAGACTTTCTCTGACAGACATTAGCTCACTTATGGAGACAAATACAGTAAACCCACACTCATACATTAATCTTCAGGGGAGAAATGACCTTCCACTAGGTGTCGCTTCAAGGTGCATATATCACAGCTTTTATTAGAAAATAAAAATAAACTGTATTTTACGTCGTTTAGCTTGTCAGTGCCATTTTTTGATTCAAGTTATTAATGACAGATGTTTGCAGAGACGGGTTCAACAGGACTATTTCAACCGGAACAACATATTTAATGTATTTTAATAATAATAATAATAATAATAATAATAAAAAATCACACTTAAGAGATTACTATGAAACGTATATTTTAAGCTCAAAGAAATATACAGAAATCTTATTTATTATACTTTTCATATAATTACAGTTATGTATTCTGTCCTTGCGCGTTGTTTCATTTCACTACTTTATCACTGAAATCCAAGACATTAGTGTGAGTTTGTAGAGTTGTATGAACACTCACATGTTGTACCGGTAATATCCCGATGAATCCCTGACCGTCTTGACGGATTTCAGGTGATGTGCGTCCACACCGCCGTTCTCCTCTTTCCAGCACTGCTCATCTTCATCCTCAGAAAACGACACTCTTTTCTGGTATTTGGATCCTCTGCCTTTCATGGACATCCAGACAGCGGCTGTGAGAGCTGCTCCGGGACTCCAGCGCTGCTCACTGCAGGTGATGCTCTGACTCCAGCATCAGGATCGGCGTGTGTGTGTGTGTGTGTGTGTGTGTGTGTGTGTGTGTGGCGTGAGAGATGAGAACAGCAGGAGACTGAGTGGAGAGCCCAGCAGCCCTGCCCACATCCAGAAGCCCTCATTATTAACAAGACAAGCAGAGCTCAGGGTATGTGTGCTAAATTAATCATTTTTCACCTGTTCACTACTAGAGAATGAAAATGTTCAAAGAGTTTAGAAAAATCTGACAAAACCGTAAAGTAAAAAGACTATAATTTATTAATGCTATTCTTTATATAAAATAATACTAAATTATTTCAGTAAAAATGTATACTTTGTATACATTTTAAATATTTTATATCATAATTTATATAACATTTATATAATATATTGTGTGTGTGTATATATATATATATATATATAATATTGTTTTATGAAACTTACTGATATACTTAGATATACTGACATAATTTTTCACATGGTACAGCCGATTGATTTCTTTTGCATTAGCAGCCAATGAGCTTGCTGCTCAACATTGAAATACTTGGCTAGTGTTTGCTGTAGCTGTTGCAGCGCACTTCAGAAACGCTCCACCTTCCCCAGCTCCACCTGTATAGATCTGCTACTGTGTGATTTCATGAATTTTATATATGTAATTATTATATATATGTTATACAGTGTTTCTTACATGCTCACATGTCTGTGGATGTATTGGCAGTAGCAAGCCTCAGTACTTGCTCTGCTGCTGCTGCATCAGCTTAGCAGATCTATTCCACCAAGACCAAACACATTAACATTGCCATGAAAAAGAGACAAAAACACATAAGTGAGAGAGTATTGTTTTATTGCAAATGTTTTAGTAAAACAAATACTTTGTCTGATAATCCAGTCTGATGTTTAGGTATATCAGTTAGCAAGACTAAGTTTCTGTGCGTCCTCAGACATCTTTTGAGTTAATGGATCAACACACAAGGAAACTGATTACACAAGAGAAAGCCTGTGGACATCTTAATCAATAGCAGCATTGACAAACAATTACAGGTGAAAAGGTTGTTTGGTTGTGTAGTTTGACAAGCCTCTTCATATGAATTTGATTAGCAAAAGGGCAAAGGTCAAGCCAATCAATAATTGTTTTAGTGAAGTTGCAATTAAATTAGGTGGTTTGCCTTCTGTCTTTGAAAAGAATACGACATGGGAAACCGTTTAGTGCTATTCTGTGCATACAGTCATCAGAAGTGCTCTCCAAACTAAATTACTCTAGGTTTGGGAATTGCAGATAATCATAATATGCTGAACAGTTGTCTAAATTTGGATAAAGCTCAGCATCTGTCATTGGCATATAACAATCCTTTGGGAAAAGACTGACCTAATTTAGTCACAATACAAAGTTACGTTCAAAATAAAAACAGATATTAGATTCAGGCTGAAATTTTCACTAGACATATCCTCTGCAGACGTACATGAGTACAATGTTTATCACAAGATGATCTGCTTTCAAATGTCATGTCACATTTACTGGCCTTTTCACATTTAACTCAATGAAACCAGAGAAGAAGGTCACTTGCAAACACAGGAAATGTCATTTATTGTTTGTGACTCAGAGGCGGAGTGTGACTACAGAAATGAAGAGCTCTTGGTTCTCCGTCATGACAACCAGAGAATGGGGTCTGATTCTCATGATCAAAGCATACTCCATATGTTTTCTTCTAAGAACAGAAGAACATTTAATGTCCCCCTGTATTATCGGCCTCTTGTATTGAGTAGAAGACACAGAGAAGCCAGATGCACTTAAGCAGAATTGAATAGATGTTCAGTCAATATGTATCAATGTCGAGTGGAAAACAAAAGGACCCCAAGTGACATGGAGATTTAGCAAGACCAGAACATATTATTATTTTGAGAGATTGAGCTTTTAATGTTTAAAAAGCCTCAAAGGAAGGTTCAAGTGGAAACTGAGTAAAAAACAGAACATTTTTGTCATAAGGAATCTCTCATACGATAAATTCACACCATTTTCCTTAGAGATTAAATGGAAGCTCACTCAGCGGCCATATTTGCAATGTCTCCAGGACCTTTTTCACATTTTTAGGGTTCTCAGAAGTGGAAATCGTCATAGTTGAGTAAACGTCTATGGTGGGGAACGGAAATGACTACAAATAGGCTATATATTTTTGGTGTTCTTTCTCCCAATAGCAAAAGAAAAATCCACAATAGCATTTCTATGACTTTCCAAGAGAAAAAAAAAAATCAAGAGATTTATCAATCTGTGATGGTGAGTGACAATTAACCTTATATAATTCATTGGTATTTGTATGCATGTGTGTTTGTGAACAGTAGCGCTGTTTTCTCTCTGTCAGGAGCTCAATCTACCTGAGGTGCTTCTGAAATCTCTACGTGTGGTCAGTGCCATTTCCATGGCACAGGTGAGTGTGGCGAAATGGGCAGCCTGTAGGGGAGGCGTTTAATTATTCCACCTGAACAGCACAGGATTATCCAGTTCAGAGGCTCCTGGGGCGGAAGAAGCAGGTGATTGAGGGGCATTTATCTGTCAAGATGGACTAACCTGCCCTTTCACTCTTTTGTTAAGTGATTTGGGGATATAGTCAATGCGCTTCATGGGTCAATGCAGATCTCAGCTTCTCTAGAACTTAATTGTAGCGTGTAGTCTGTAACGTTATAAAATAAATGGCAGCTGTCACGTACATTTTCTGTTCATCAATATTTCATGCTGTCACAGATTCTAATCACCTTCCTGTTCTGTGGAACCAGAAAGGATGATTTACAGATCACAGATCATTTACACCTGTTTCTGCAAATATACAGTCATGTATTATTTTGGGGCCAATGATGCATTTCATTTGTTTAAAAGTGAGTGTTTATCACTAATCGCATCCATCTCCCTTGATGCCAACATGTTCACATGACAACACACAATAAAAAATCAATAGTTTTCCAATTTGGAAATCAGAATTATTAGGACAAAATATATACATAACACTCACAAATACTGGGGATATAAAAGGCATATACAGTTTATAGAATTTACAAACACATAAACTACTTTGAAAAATTCTAAATTGTGTTTTCTACATTGATAATAATCAGAAATGTTTCTTGAGCAGCAAATCGGCATATTAGAATGATTTCTGAAGGATCATGTGACACTGAAGACTGGAGTAATGATATTTATATACAGCCATTACACTTTATATATCTTTACAAGTCTAACACTATACATTTATCTACCTATTTATATTTATTACATTTGTAATTGCCATTTCTTTTGACTGCAGTCATAGACTGTCCATAGTAAAGTTATGTTAAGGATACATGGACAATATCTTGGAAGAATGCTTGATCTGATCCCACAAATATGGTTAAGCACCATCTCACTATAACCTATCTAAAAATATTTGATTGAATTTCAGAATTGAATTATTAACCATCAGGAATGTATTGTGATTATGTCTCTTTCTCATGCAGTTTAATTCACTTCTAATTATAGTTTGGTTCCATTCAAAAACCTTGTCAAATTGGGTCTGCAATCACTAATTCAGCTCAGCATTTGACATTGAACAGACAGTGATTGGTTCAGACACCTAATTTTAATGCTCATATTTCCTTTTTTTATGCTTATGCTGTTCCAAATCGGGAGAATATAAGGATATCCTGGCCACTGTTTCCTATATAATGAATGTGAATGGCTCCAAAATTACAAAATAAACATCACTAAAGTACCATAAAAGTGACTTTTATTAAGCCTTCTGAAGTCATACGGTAACCTTTTTTGAGGAATGAATTGATCAAAAGCAGTTATTCACTGATAATCTCCCCCTGCTCTTTTTACTGCAGTCAACAAAGCAATAAAAGCAGATCTAACCTTCAGCAAGGGCAGTGCAAGACAAATGTTAGGGACAGATTGATGCTTTCAATTGTGTATATAGTCCTCCTGCCAGGGTTCAGATGTGTGGGATTCCTGCCCTGTGGCATTGGTCCAGGGAAATATTCTTGTGTAAACCTGAAGAATCAGAGCAGTGCTGTCTCTGAAAACAGACAAATGAGGATCAGGGCTGATGATACAAATGTCGAATATATGGGTGATCTATTAACTAAAGATGTTGCTGGCATCCAACCCGGGTGTTGTCTCTAGCTTCGGCAGTTCAGATAGCTTCGGAGAGATGTCCCCGTAGTTAAATTATGGTCCCTTCAGGAAAAAATGACATAGTCTGGGACTCAATCTTGGCAGTGAAGTTAATCATTCTCTGCCAATATATATCTAATGTCCACATTTAGCCAACTATAAACATTTTTTTATTGCTGTTTCATTTGAAGAAAGACTTTCAATAAAAACAACTGAAATCACACAAATTGCTTTATTAAAAATATCAGTGTTTTCAATTTCCGATCACCCACCTAAAAGGAGATTGTACTTCTGTCAGTTCAACAGGTTCTTCAGATAAAGAGGAGCAGCACCGTGCCAAATGCTCAAGTGCTTCAACTCCTGAGAGTTAAAAATACCTGCTAATAATAAAACCCTTCAAAGGTTCACTAAGCAAATGATTTACAAATCTGTGAAAAAGTGACTAGCAAGTATCATAAACAGCCATATTGATTAATATCTGTTGCTGGTAGCCATTGACATCCATAGTATTGTTTTCCATATGGAAATTCATACAGATTTGGAACAACGTGAGGGTGAATAAATGACAAACGTTTAAGCAGAAATACATCAAAAATAAAAAAGACTGTTTGGTACAAGTGAAATAAATGGGTGAGTAGGTGCCTTTATCACATAAAGTTGTAAAAGTAATCACATGTATTGATTCCTGACCTAGAATGGGGACAGAGCACATTAAACGCTATTGAATAATGATTCTAATATTGATTCTGAGTTCATTGTATAATTGACATGCAGTGCTGCATCTGCAGACTGACTGTGTTTTATATCTGTTA